ACCACGTGTCAGAGGCGGAAAAATGGCCGTGGACCACGTGTCAGAGGCGGAAAAATGGCCGCGGACCACATGTCAGGGGTGGAAAAATGGCCACGGACCGTGTCACGGGAGGGAAAATGGGTGCGTATCCTGTTCGTACCCCGAGGTGGAGTTCGGAAACCAAGGTAAATTTTTGCGGCCGGAGCTAGTCGTAACCTGAAAAGTTCGTTAGCAGAGGTGTTCGTAACCCAAGGTACTACTGTATCTGTGTCTGTAGATAAACATCTCATTTAAGATGCATCTTGTTTAGAGAATGTTATGAACCAGACTGAGCTGAATAAGCTTACATAATGACACATTCAGTTGTTTAAACTGCATATTAGCACAGAAGCTCTCAGAACTTTAGCTGAAGAGGTAGACAGTAGTAAAACATTCATGACGGATGCATATATTAGCATGTTCATGGTGGCTAACTAATACAGCTGTGCACATCCTTCGAAAGAGATATTTTTAACTGGCAGGAACAAAGGATCACCCCTCAAACTAATAAAGCAGCTATATCTTTTTCCAGCCTCACATGGCTGCTTTATACTTTATACCACTGACTTCACATTACATGTGGATGTGTAGCTGCTTCACTGAAGAAAAGAAATAAAGTGCAAAGCACCTCTGTATAGCCTAATATATACATATATACGTAGGAAGGTAAAGGAGCAAAATATCAAGAACAACTTGATTTGCACATTGACATTCTCCTCTCTTTAATACTAACATTGGATAAAGGATTGTGGGGAAGAGCTCTGCAAACAGAATGATCTTGCAGCCAACAGGAACAATGGACAAATCCCACCTCCCTCCTTGTTGCTTCTTTTTGTCCTCAGAAATCTGACTGTAGAGTTGAAATATCCACAGGGTTCCAAAGAAAAGACTAGAAGGCCAAAATGCCACCCCCTCCCCCAGAGCTACTCTTGGATCCAGGTTTTGTTCTCCCAATCATATGTAAAACCAATGTATTGATTAAGACATATAATTGCTACCTTGGAAACAAGAATGTAAACTGTCAATGTTATTTCTGTTCCCTGAGTTTATCTGGGGAACCTTCAACAGGCAATTCAGTTGTTTGTTACTGCCTGTATTTAAATTACCTGTATGTTTTTATTCCACTTCTGGATAAAGGACTTTTCGGGAAATTCTGGAGGAAGGGATAATTGTTCTTTACAAATATTCAAATATGTTTTAAAATCAAAGGAATTCATTAAGTGTATCTGCCGGTGGGAAAATCTTGACTTCACTCTTTTCTCCAAGAGTTCTAGAATATCCTAATAAAAGATTACAAATACAGCTTTCAATTATCATTTAATCCAAGTAAATCACATATTTTTAATTATAAACATCTAATAGTATTATTCTGCAGAGCTCATAAATTTCAAGAGTAGCTCTAAGCAAAACTCAGATGTTTATGAATCAAATTTCTAGTTCATCTATAAACTAAACTAGGGGTATTGCAAAATATTAAGAGCTTGGAATAGTAGTTTTAAATGTTCCAAGCTTAAAATAAAACTCTTAAACATCCATATGCTACAGAATAGAAGAGCTGTTTGAATCAGGCCAACAGTCCATCTACTCTAGCATTCCATGCCCCACAGAGGATAAACAGATGTTTGCAAGCAGCTCACAAACATGAACAGAAGGTTAGTAGTCCCAAGCTCAGAATAATATGGGGCATTTCAATCCACATTGTTTTGAGTGGTTCAACATCTGGTAATTGGTTTGACTTTGCATCTGTGTGTTATCCTTCCAAGCCACTGAGAGCAGTTTAGTGAGTAAAACAACATAAGAACTACCTATATGAACTTTCTTCTGCAGACAGTTTTCAAAATGCATCAGGAAGAACCCTTAAGCCAATAGCCAGTGAAGTACTTTTGGCTGTACTTTCATGCACTGTATGGATGAAACAGCTTCCTACACTTAATAACTGAAACCAATTCACAACTCCCGAAAGCATCTCTACTTGCATCTAATCAAAAACAGAGAAATATTTTCAGAAGTTGGTATTTGAACTTGCACAGACTCCTAACGGCTTATAGGGAAAAAACTGTATTGTCTTACCAGTCTACAAGTCAGACCAATAACAGCTATAGGTGTCTGTGCTGATTGTGATACATCAAAAAGGTTATATAGTAATGTTTGGTTCTTATGATGGACAAACAAATCAAACTCATCTAGAATGAACAGAACAGGGCAACTGTGGTCCCGATCTCCTAAAATATAAATCAAATTGGTACATATTAGAACTGTCAAGAAACTACCTTAATATTATTACATTCATCTGCATTTTAACTTACTTTAGAATCTGCATGTTAAGAAAACCTCTGTATAAATAATTGAAAAGTTACTTACTATATAAATAACTTTAAGTGGTTCTTGTACACTCTATATAATTAATCAACATTTTCTTTCTTTATTGTTGAATCATGCCCTGATAGCTCCACTGTAAGAATTAGGCGAGTGCAGTGCAAAAACAAGGAACCCTGCAACCAGGCAGGACAAGCACTGAGAAAAAACAAGAAGTACTAATAAAGTTTGCTCATACAATTCAAGGGGTAAATATGTCCAAACTAGACTAATCAACCAAATATTTTCTACACCATTCGGCATAATGACCACTATTGTATTTCACCAATATCAATCAGTAGTTATTTTTTTTCTAAATAGTTTTGAGATTAAAAATAAAAAAGTGAACAATAGTTTCACACATTCATAATTGCTGTAAAATTATAAAATGCAATAAATATTGCAGAGTCAGTGTAAGTTTCTATTTTATTGTATACCAAATAGGGCAAATCATGCTGCTTTTCTTCCTATTTCAAAGTCGGGCAAATAAGTACATATTTATTTATTTGTTTTATTAGATTTTTAGACCACCACAATCATGCAATTCTGAGTGACTTACAAAAGAAAATAATACAATAATATAGTAATAAATAAAATCGTAACAAATATTTAAAATTATTTTCAAACCAAAGCACATAAACAATTTCTAAGGCATTACCTTGTAACTAATTAATTAGTTAAGTTAACCTACTTCTGAAAGGCCAACAGGATAGGAGGCAACCTGATCTCTAATGGTAAATTATTCCACAATATGATGGTCAGAATGAAAAAAACCTCTTCCTCTCCCCCACCCGTTTCCCAGCAGTGGGGATTGCCAACAATTTTTCTCAAGTTATTTGTATTGGACAGGCTGATTCTAGCTGAAGGAGACAGTCCTGTAAGTACCTTGGTGCTTTTTAGGTTAAAACCAGCACTTTAAATTGCACCCAGAATACTACTGGCAGCCAACACCAGGGCCCCAGCAAAAATGTAATATGTTCATAGTGTTTAGTGCCAATTAATAAATGGGTCACTGCATTTTGTACTAACTACAGTTTCTAAGTGGTCTTTAAAGGCATCCCCAGGTATAGAGCATGCTGCAGTAGTCCAACCAGATGGCAATGAGAACTCGAATTACTGTTGCTAGATCTTCCCACTCCTGGGAGAACAGCAATTGGTACACCAGCTGGAACTGGGCAAAGGCCCTCCCGCACACAGTCTCCACTTGCCCAAACAGCAATAGTTCACAGTTTAGGAGGACCCTCAAGTCATGAACTTGCTTTCTCCATTCAAGAGACAACACCAGAAGCTGCAGGGAATTTCAATGTACAAACAGCAATTCCAACTTGTTTCTCCCTATCCAAGCTGTGATAACCTCCAGATACTGGGACAAGAGTTCAATCCTATTGCCAGTGAGCCCTAGGTCGGCTATACTGGTAGTCCTTGCTTAGCAACTGCCTCATACAGTGACCGCTCAGGTACGACAGTGATAAAAAAGTAACTTTGCAACCAAACCTCGCATTTATGACCTTTGTAGGTCTGTAAAGCACAGAAAAGCTGATCGTAAGCATAGTCGCAGTTTCACTGCAGTCACTAAATGAGGACTACCTATATATATTTGGGTTTCATCAGCGTATTGACAACACCACACCCTGAACCAATGGATGACATCCTCTAGTGGTTTCATATTGTTGTTAAAAAGTAGAGGGAAAAAGAATCAAACCCTATGGCCCTCTGCATATCAGAGGCCACTAGGCTGACCTCTCCCCTCCTCTGCAATCACTAACTGGAACCATCCATAGAGAAAGAAATGGAACCACTGAAGCATCCTACCCCAGTAAGCAGTCCAGAAGAATAACATGGTCATTGGTGTCAAAAGCCACCAACAGGTCTAACAGGACCAGAAAAGGCATACTCCTCCTAACTAGGTCCCAACAATGATTGCTTATCAGTGCATACCCAGGCCTAAACTCTGAATAAAAAGGTTCAAAATAATCTGTTTCCTTTAAGTTTCCTTCCCACAGATGCCTCCACAATTTCCTCTAGAAAGGGGATGTTGTAGACAGAACAAAATTTCCTAACACAGGATCCAGGGAGGGCTTCTCAAGGAGGGAACACACTACAAGTAGTCCTTCTTTAGCAATTGCTTCATTTAGAGACCGTCTGCAGTTATGACGGTGATGACAAAGTAACTTTATGACCAATCCTCACATTTATGACCTTTGGAGATCTGTAAAGCAAAGGAAAGCTGAAGTAAGGTCCAAAGCATAGTCACAGTTTCACTTAGCAACCATTTTGCTTAATGACCAATTTGCCAGTCCCAGTTGTGGTTGCTAAACAAGGACTACCTGTAACACCTCTTTCAAGGCAACAAAAAACACCCCTTCCACAAAGGAGCACTGACTACCTCTCAGATCCAGCTGACCACACACTAAGAGTACAGAGGGACACAAGTGGCAGAAGACATACTAACAAGCACCCTAACCATGTTATTGAAGTCCACAGGCTAGGAATCCCAGATAATATGGCAAGATGTCTTGCAGCCAAAGCTCGAGCACAACTGTTATATGGGGCCCAATTAGGACCATACAACAACATGATTACCTTGGAAAG